CCGAAGATTTCTCTTGTTGCAGCCCGGCCCGCCGGCCCCTTTTGCAGCCTCTTCCCCATTTCTGTGCGGTGAAGGACAGGCTGCCGCAGGCTGTCCCAAGCCCTTCCTGGCACTGAGGTCCTGTTTTGTCAGGCCCGGGAGGGCCGCGTTTCCTCTGCCCCAGACGAGCCCGGCTGGGATGGGTGCAGCACCAAGGGCCGTCGTGCCCAGTCCTGCAAGCTCTCCTCCACCCCAGTCCCCGGCAGTTGTTAAGGCTTGGAACGGCAACGGGCAGAATTATGAATCAGAGACGTATCTCTTCTATCTGAAGAATATCCTTCTTTGCAGTTTAATAGATTGAATCAGATGGGCCTGATATTAATCAAAATGGTCTCTTCTGAGAGGAGCTGATGAGTGTTGCCTCTTCTTCCCCTTGGGAAATCTTGGCCACTACAGAGCAGCGTTTTAGTTTTTTGCCTCAATTAATACTATTTTTTGGGGTTGCTGATTGCAGTGCCTTCCTCCTCGTCTTTTTTTTTTTTTTGTATTTTTATGCAAAGAAAATTCTTCTCATATTTTTCCTGACAGAAATAAATAGGGATGCAAGTCTGCAGGTGCCCCCGTTTCCTTTTCTTTCTTAATAAACAGCGTTTAATTTTTTGTGTTTTCAGAGTTCTCTTTCTGCAAACACCAGCGGTTTCTCATTACTGGAAAGCAATTAATTAGTTTTCATAATGCATTCTCACTTGGGGGAGACGTTCCCTTATTGTGTCGAAGCTGGCTGAGTGGAGGTGGCTCAGCCCCACGCTGGCAGATGCCAAGACGCAGCTGCGCTTCGCTGGTGACGGGCCTAACGCTAACCCACTTGGGCCTGACCTGGCATCGGGCATAGTTGTTCCCTGAGGGTCTTTCCAATTGGCCTACCAAGAGAGCTTGGTCATTAGTGACGTGTTCTCTGGCTGCAGCAGGGTGCCACCTGCCCAGCTCTCGGTTGGCAGCTGGGCAGGGTTGTAGGTCTCCTGGGGAGGCAATCCAGAGGTTTTTCTGGAGCAGCCGGGGAGCTAGACCCGGCCTGGGTCAAGCTGACTGAGCCAGTCGCGCTCTTCTGTGTCCCTTCTCTGGATGATGCTTGCTCTGGCCGTTTGCCCTGCTGGCCCCTGTGCTTAGCTCTGGGCAATCGGTCCCCCTGATCTTGTTTAAAAAGGTGGCCAGAAAAGTAGGGCTTCTGTGCCTGACAAAGGACGGGTTTGGGGTTAGGGTCTTGCTTTGGGCTTGGCCACCCTGTCTCTCACCTCTCCTGCCTGCCGATTCCATGTGGCCCTGCAGTTGGGGAAACGCAGAGACAGGATGGCAGCGTGTACCTTTGGGGGAGGGTCCTTGGCTGACTCTTGAATGCGGAGTGATGGGAGGGGGGAGCCTGTGGTCCCACGGAGTACACAGCACGCACCCGCTGCCCTGCCAGTCCACCTGAAGGCACCAGACAGGACTTCTCTTCCAGCCACGATCCAGATGAGGGCAGGCATGGTGTCACCGGCCACCTTCAGGACACAAGAAGCCGTTCCCCCCCCCCCATTGCTGCATTTTCCACCAGGCGCTTCTATTTCAAGCCTGGAGGCCCTGGTGCTGTGCTGGAACCGGTGCTGCCCATTTTGGGGCGCCCTGCCTTCCATGAAAGCCCCAGGTTTCTGTCCCCAGGGCCAAAACAGCCCCACTGCTCTCTGCCTCCCTGTTCCCCACTTTGGACCATCTCTGAATAATATAAATATTATTGATCCACATATTTAATACACTAATGAAACAGATATTGACAATGTAATTAATACACTCCTGAAAAGTGGAGTGTGCAGCAGGCTAGAGAAGGCTCTATTGACTAGTGTAGTTCTGGCCGCCTGCCCACCTCAGCTGCCTTGTTTACAGGAAGGGGGGCTGATCGGACTCTCTTCTCGGGGGGGGCTTCCCCTTCCCTGCTCCAAGGCTTCCGCTGGGCTTTCATTTTCCTATCTCAGCCTGGGGCCTGGGTGTTCGCAGCCTGGTTGCTTGGACCCCTTGGAAGCGTTGCTGGGCTCCTGTCCCCATCCCCGTGCCAGGGCTCAGCTTCTGTTTCTTGGACTGAGGGATGGGTGTTGGTTTGTGCTGGGGGGGGCAGGACAGGGGATCAGCGAGGAAGGGGCCTGGCTGAGGCCCTTGAGGTTTGGTGAGGGCAGCCGCCTCTGCTGGGAGTCTGGCCCAGCTTGCACCAAGGAGGGAGGGGTTGCTACTGGGCACCTGAGATCGCCATCAGAGTGGGAAGCTTTCCGGGGAAGGCAACCTTAAGTGCAATTCTGCTCCCCTGAATGGGGAGGCCCAAGGCCCTGCTCTGGGCCCCTGCGGAGAACAGCCTGGTTCCCCAACGCTGCTCAGGTGGCTCCTGAAAGGGGGGGTTGCCTTTCCTCCCTGGGTAAGCCCTCGGTTTGCCTGTGCTCCCACGGGCTCCCTCAAGCCAGACAGAGCCTCAGCTGGGAGGGAGAGGTTCCATGGTGACTATGGAAAACCTCTCTGGTCAGGCTCCCCCCCCCCCCAAGATTTCTTGTCTATCGGAGGAGTTGGAATTGCTGCAGGTGAAATATGAATCCATAGGAGGAGTCTTTTGAGCCCCTGGGACTCAAATGTCACAGTATTTGTTGGCCTCGTTGTTACGGGGTGTTGTCCGATCCTTCCCCATCCAAAGAAACAGAGACCTCAGCCTGCAAAGGGAAGCCTTTTCAGGTCAAGAGAGGAGCCAGGTACTCTTCGTGGGGGTGGAAGGCGCCTCTCTTGGGAATCCTTCGGAAGCCCATTTTCAGGACCTCGGGCTCCCTGGCCAGGTCAAGGGGGCCATCATCCCCTGCTCCAGTTTCCCCAGCAACTCCATCATCCCAGCAAGCGTCAGAATCACCTGCACCAGCTCTTGGGCAGGGGTCTTCCCTGAACCTGGCTTTCTTGTGGCCCACTGGCAGTCCAAAGCACCCAGGTGGCCTCTCCTTCTTCACAAGGAGCCCAGGGGCAGTCAAGGAGGCACCTCCCTGCTGTCCAAGCGGGATCTGAAAGGTCGGGCAGGGGCTGGACGTTGCCTTGGTCTTCTGGACTGCTGCGTCCAGGATAAATTCAGTGGCCGTGGAAGGCACTGGGAAGGGGCTTCTCCTCCAGAGACAAGCCAAACATGGGGCTCGCTGGCACCTGCCATCTAAAGGCACAATCAGAGGGCAGATTTTTTTATTTAAAAGATGCCTGTGGCCAGTGCTTAGCTTCCTGGCTCCTGGCCGGCAACTGGAGTCCTCGTTCCTAGCCCCAGCGCCTGCCCATGGGGGCCATTTTGCTTTGCAGCTGGTTAGCTGGGAAAGGTTTTGGAGCTCAACCCTC